CCCGCTGTACAAGAGGGGCCTGAAGAATTGGAATAGGGTTTCGGGTGGTTATTTTAGTATAAATATACAGGAACCCTAAGGGAATATTCTTAGTAATTATTCCGACCCCTATCTGAAACCCCGTTTACTAGCACTGAAGACTCGGCAAGCAAGTACCACAGGCATTCCAGCAGCTTGAGATGCGCAGAAGCAGCTGGCAACTTTGAATGCCTTGGCTCCCCCGGATGTTCACAAAGAGTCAAGTTCTCGCATGGTGATGTGGCAAATACACCCACCACCCAGCTTTCTGCACATGGCAAGTGCTCTGGATTCTGGTCCTTTTTTGGGTTCCTCTTGTAACCCTAATCCCTAACCCCCTAAACACTAAACCCTGAACCCTAAACCCGTTGTAGTTCAAGCCCTTCTACGACGCATGGTGCCCAAAAAGGGACCACAACTCAAAGAACTGGCCGCATGTTTCGCGCCAATGGTTTATACTTAGCGAATCCAGGCAATACCCGCACGGAGGACGTTCCCGGCCCCGAAAACCCTAAACCTTGAACCCTAAACCCCCTAAACCCCCTAAACTTTGCTGGGAGCGCCCGCGAGTGCGCCTGAAAGACACACCTCGTCCCGAGGTTCCTCATGGCACTTGGGGCCGCAAGAACCCCTTTTGGGGGGTTAGGGTGTTGGGCCATGCGCCCCCGAACTTTCGTCGAACCTAGCTAGGGATCGTCATGAAATCTAGCCCTAAACCCTCAACCCTATATAGCCAGCTTCCGAGCACCCGCAAGAATCTTTGAAGCCTCCTTGGGCGAACCAGATCGATTGTCGGCACTCCTATCTCGTCACTCAGAATGCCAAGCCCCGTCACCAGCCGATCCAGTGGCTGCCTGCAAGTAGTGTTAGGGCTTAGGGTTTAGGGTTTAGGTTTGGGGTTTAGGGTTTAGGGTTTGCCGTTTAGGGTTTAAGGTTTAGGGCTGCAAGCTTCACATTCCGTCAACACTTGGTGGCACGTGCAGCATGCTGGTTGACTGGTGCCTGGGAGATGCTTTGGCAACATGACATCCTCGAGCGTGCACGCGTCTCCGGAAAGTTTTCCCTCATCAGCTGCCCGCTCAGCGTTGCTTTGCCCAACGCCCGCCTGTGCAGGCAGCGCTTTGCCTCTGACATCTCGGACACAAAGAGTCCTGAACGTGCCACACCCTGCAACCTTTAACCCCAAGGTGTCGAAGTAGGGCTACTGAACTCCTAAACCCCAGGGCCTTTGCCACGGAGCAGACGGGAAGCGGCAAGGCTGCGTCGCTTTTTGCAAGACGCCCCGACAGCTGAACCAGCTTTTCACTTCAAGGCTTTCGGCATTTGAAACGGCTGGGGCCGGGGGGGAGGGGGGGGGAGGCGAGTTATACATCAATTGGGTGGTTCTAGCAGCCCTTAAGTAGGGCATAGGGGTGCAAAGCGTGTTCTCTGCACACGTATCGAGGAAGCTCTGCTTAAGTTTCTGTCTTCAGCTGCCGGAGGATTCTTTGCAGAAGTTTTGAGACCAAGATAGGATCCGCAAATTTGACCCCGCGCTGGTTGGGCCTTGGAACATGCTCGTGGAGCAGCACACTTATTCGGGTGTGGGGGCTTCAGCGTTTCGGGTTTAGGGCTTAGGGAGACTGCATGAGACACCCCTAAACCCCAAAAGCCCCTAAACCCTAAACCCTAAACCCTAAACCCCTGACTCAATGTCTTTGGCCGCTGAGGCATCTGGGTCACTCTTGCAAGGGGAGCTGGAGCTCCCGCCCGAAGCCGTCCTCCCTCAATTAGGGTTTAGGGTGTAGGGTGTAGGGTTTAGGGTTTAGGGTTTAGGGTGGAGTTATTGCCCGAAGCTGTCCTCCCTCAAGGAAGATCTGGGCCGGGGCAACAGACACTTCACAGGACTTGCAGCAGACGCCGGGACTTAGATACGTAGGGCTTCTCTCCTCGTTTGCATCGAGGTCGATGTACAGATAAGTATATATGTATATATTTCTAGCGTCATTTCCACATCGAAATAGGTCCCGCGCGACAAGCTACCAATAATTTTAACGGGTGTCAGTTGACTCTGCATGCTGTGACTCTCTCTGTCTCTTTCTCTTCTTTCTTTTTTTTTTTCTCTCTCTCTCTCTCTCTCTCTCTCTCTGTCTCCAGGGTTATTAGGCTTTGGGCCTTTGGGGTGTCGTCTTTCCTGAGCCCTAGAGAGTCAAGTCTCAACGCCACATCTCTCAGATCTCGAGGCCCTAAATCCCTGAGTCCCAGAACCCTCCACCTCTTTCAACCCCAAATCTTCGAAGCCTATGTACACCCCTTCAACCCTCAACCCCTAATCAGCCCCTCAACCCTAAACCACCCTCAACCCCTTCAACCCCTTCAACCCCTTCAACCACTTTAACCCCGTCAACCCCTTCAACCCCGTCAACCCCTTCAACCCCTTCAACCCCTTCAACCCCTTTCAACCGCTTCAACCCCTTCAACCCCTTCAACCCCTAAACCCTAAACCCCCAAACCCTAAGCCCCTAAGCCCCTAACCCCTGAAACCCTCAGACGCCCCACGCTCCGATGTGCAGGCTCGAGCCGGAGACGCCCAAAGCTACCCCGGAAAAGACGACCACAGCGATGGCAGCAAGACCCGCTGCCAGGGATGCTGCACAAGGCTGTGGACTGGCGGGTTTAGGGCTTAGGGGTTTAGGGGTTTAGGGGTTTAGGGGTTTAGGGGTTTAGGGGTTTAGGGGTTTAGGGGTTTAGGGGTTTAGGGGTTTAGGGGTTAGGGGTAAGAGGTTTAGGGGGTTTTGGGGTTTGGGGTTTAGGGGGTTAGGATTGAGAGCCCCCCTGAACCCTCTACTACTATTTGCTTGAGAACCCCAAAAGAATAGAAATCAAAATCCATATATATTGCCCTTAATCAGGAAGAACATTTTGTTGGGTTCTTAAGCAAGTAGTAGTCTAAAAAAAATCATGAGTGCTTCCGAGATCCAGACCGTTCGGGCGGCTTGTGCTCCCTTCGTTCCTCGTGTTCCTAGCTTCCTGGGCTAAACCCTAAACCCTAAACCTGAAACCCTAAGCACTCAACCCTAAACCCTAAACCCCAAACCCTAAACTTTAAACCCTAAACCCTACAGCAGGTGATCAGTCAGGTTCCTCAGCCGGAGGTACCCTAAGACATTATCCAGCCGCTTCTGGCGGGTCCCAGGTGCCCGAGACCCTCCCCCCAGTAAGCCCCCCCCCCCCCCCCCCACCCCCCGGGTTTAGGGTTTAGGGCTTAGGGTTTAGGGCTTAGGGTTTAGGGCTTAGGGTTTAGGGTTGAGGGTTTAGGGTTTCGGGTTTACCCGAAGCCCTAAACCAACCTCGAACCCTGAACCCTAAACCCTGAATCAACCTTGAACCCGTAAAGTTGGGATGGCCCCCCTTATACTAACGGCCCTTAATGGGGGGGTTATACTCGGGGGGTACTCTGATCCCTCTTAAGGACTGTTAGTACAGGGGGGAGCATCCCAGCCTGAAACTAGACCCTAAACCCCAAACCCTAAACCCTAAACCCCAAACCCTAAACCCCAAACCCTAAACCCTAAACCCTAAAAACCCGAACTCCCCTACAAGCTGCACTCCCTCCGCCCCCTGGTGCCAGCCTTCCGGCAGCTGGAGTCGAATGAGTCGCTGTCCGGCTCCGAGCTTGACGTAGGCCCTCGGGGGTTTAGGGTTTAGGGTTTAGGGTTTAGGGTTTAGGGTTTGGGGTTTGGGGTTTGGGGTTTGGGGTTTAGGGGTTGGGGTTTAGGGTTTTTACGTCCTGAACGCTTAGCATGGAGGTACCTACTGGGTGGCCCAGTGGTTCCCTTCACCTGTTCTTTGTTTTTTTGTTTTTTTCTTCTGGGCCCCCTTAAAAAGCATGAACCCAAAAAGGGTGTCAATATCATTTTTCATGGTTACTGCGCTACCAAGACTATAGCAGGCTGCGGCGAAAGTACTTTGATTCTCATGGCGGACCTGGGCATCCAGTATTTAGGAGTTCTTGTCTGTGGTATTTTTTGAACTGGGTTAGAGATCAAACAGACCCATAAACCGCAAAAGGACCTCCTTGACATCCTTAAGTATATAGCAACCCCGGAACAGAATTCCAAAACCCAGCCATGAGATGCATTCCTGCTGAGTGGCCTGCTTGTGTGTTCCCAAGCGTTCCCCAACTCGCCGAAGTGCGCGCACATCAAGCATGCATGAACTGTGCCAGACAAGCAGCCGACCAAGAAGAGCTGGAAAGAGCCGCCTGTCTTTCTATCTTGCATTCTGAGATCGTTCGGGGCATTGTTTCGGATGCATACAGGCCCCCCGCCCCTCCCCCCCCCCCCCCCCCCCCCCCCCGGAAAAAAAGAAGAGAAACAACCTAAACCCTAAACCCTAAATACATATATATATATATGTATATGTATATATATATATATATTGAAACCAGGCCTGGGGTCGGCAGAAGAAGCCTTCTTCTTCTTGCGTTGATGCCATACTTGACCGTCTTCCCACCCAGCCATGGGAAGAGCATGGGGTCGTTCGGGAGGGTTTAGGGTTTAGGGTTTAGGGTTTAGGGTTTAGGGTTTAGGGTTTAGGGTTTAGGGTTTAGGGTTTAGGGTTTAGGGTTTAGGGTTTAGGGCTAAGACTTTGGCTCCAACGCCTCGCCTTGGGGGGGAAACGGTATTGGACCATTGGAGTCTCTGGGAAGCGAGTCATAGATGGGTTTAGGGCTGGGGCGGCTTGGTTCGAGAACTCTAAGCATGCTTTCCTCAAGCCAAGGCTTAGCGTTTATTACCCTAAGCCCTGAGCTCTACGCCCTGCGCCCTAAACCCTAAACCCTAAACCCTAAACCCTAAACCCTAAACCCTAAACCCTAAACCCTAAACCCTAAACCCTAAACCCTAAACCACTTCAGGAAGCTGATAGTGCCCGTGGTTTTCATCCTCTTCGTCCTGATCCGAGCGTTGGATCGCATCTTCCTCTACCGGGTGCAGAAATCCATGGAGAAATACACAGGCCCCAGCTGGCAGTTCCAGGGCTTGGGGGTTTAGGGTTTAGGGTTTAGGGTTTGGGGTTTAGGGTTTAGGGTCAGGGTTTAGGGTTTAGGGTTAGGGCTTTGGGAGTTTAGGGCTCAGGGTTGAGGAGTTTCGGGGCGTTCAGGGTCTTGAACTTAGGGTTACGGGTTTGGGGGGGGGGGGGGTGTTGGGGTTCAGGGCTTAGCAGGGAATCAAGAGCCTCTTTACACCAGCTCACATGGGAAGCTGAGAGACCTTGTGCGGAGGAGGAGTCCCCCCAGAAACTGACACTTACCCTAAGGGTCCATGTACCTAAGTAGGGAGTACTTGGGCCTTAAAGCACCTCTCATGTAGGGACTTTGGGGCCCAAGTGTTCCCTATTTAGGTACATGCAGCCAAGGACAGACTAAAGTGGTGCGGGTCTTTCTGGTTTCTGGTCAGCACGAAGGAGACACCCTCAACCCCCAATACCCGAAATCCTAAACCTATCCAGTTCGCGCCTATGTCCGAGTGTCATAAAACTCGATGTGTTGAGGGTTCTAGGGCCCTGAGGTTTTGAGCTTTTGGATGTTTGTACTCTAGACCCTACTGCAAATGGAGACTTGCTGAGGTCTCGACAGGCATGCAGGGATTTAAGCTCATTCTCCTCAGACAAGGGTTTGGGGTTTATGGTTTAGGGTTCAAGCGCCCTGAGCAGGCATCGTGATGAGCCTCTACTGGCCCCCGATGGTGCAGCTCATGTGCTTCTTCGTGTCGTTGGCCTACGTGGCCCGCAAGCGCTACATCGATGGCGACAAGTCCTACAACATGAGGCACCCTGCTTTAAGGAGCGTCTTGTTCCGCCAAGAGTGTTGAGTGAGCATGCGGATGAACGCACGAATTCCGAGCAAACAGCGAAGGAAAGACCTCGATAAGTTGTTGGCAGTCAACCGTCAATGATTCTGACGGTTGTCTGTTAGTTATCTCCTGGTGCAAAGAACCAAATTATGAAAGATGGCTCGGTTCTTAAACTGGGTTTCGGAGTACTATACTTTTATACTCGTTTTGGTTCTGGGTTCCTATTGTAGCTACTTATTCCTTAACAGTATATACCTTTTTTCCAGGGTCTACTCCAACGTAGGTTAAATGGACTCAGTGCTTGCATCTGACAAGCCTCTTGTAGACGAGCAACAAGTCGAGTCGAACTGAGTGAGTGCGTTCGGGGGACCTTTTCTCCATACACGTAATCTCAAGGCACCGCTTTTCTGTGACAAGTTACACCTGTAGTCATCAGGGTATTTCCCAAAGTAGGGGTACCCCTTTTATACCCCAAATAGAATTAGAATCAAGGCCTCGGAAGTTATGCTTTATAGTATGGGTTGATCTTTTGGAGTCTCCCAAACATTCATCTCAGTCTGTATCAGAGTGGGATTGTATTCATCAGGAAGGAGAGTTTTTTCCATGAAGCCAGATTTTTTGCAACTGCGTTCGAAGGATATTCTTTTGAGTAATGCCAGGCTTGCTTGGGGGGAGTTTGCATCTGTCGTTGAGGAGCCTCCAAACATGGTATATCCGAATATCCCATAGTCAGCTTAATCTGTCTTAGTTTTTGTGTCTTCTCCTGATCCTTTCTATTATAACCTGAGAGGTTGAGTTCTTTGATCAGCATTCTCAACTTTGTTTATGACCTTTTCCAGCGTCATTCACAGGAGTCATACATTTTGATGACTAGCCTGTGGTGTTTCTTTTTCCGTCTTACATCTCTTAACTTTGGGACAACACTTGAACAGGGTGATCTTATCATCGGGCATGCTTTGAAGGCGAACTCGTGATTCGCTTACAGGTCCCATGTTTTTTCCAATACAAATCTTGTTTGGTTCATACACGTCTTATAATATTTGGGTGAGCTTCATTCCTGTAATCTATCATCATGTGCATTGGCTTATTGGACATCCAGAAAGAACACATCCCGAAAGTGTCCTGTGTTGGGGAGAATGTCCACAACTACCTGGGACAATACCACATATTTTCTCAATTACCCTAAACCCTAAACCCTAAACCCTAAACCCTAAACCCTAAACCCTAAACCCTAAACCCTAAACCCTAAACCCTAAACCCTAAACCCTCAGAGTTGCAGGTGGTTCTCTCCGTGGAGTGACAGGCACGCGGCAACAAGCTGATTCAGGCTTTAGGGTTTAGGCTTTAGGCTTTAGGGTTTAGGGTTTTGGGTTTGGGGCTTAGGGTTTAGGGTTTAGGGTGCAACAACCGAGGGCGCAAGGTATGCTTTGCGCCTAAACCCTAAACCCTAAACTCTAAACCCTAAACCCTACACCCTAAACAACCCGCACGTTTAAGGTTTAGGGTGTGCGTCTCTCCCTGTTCGTTCGCAGCTCCTTCTTGGCTTTCCTCTCCTCTGCAACTCAGAGCCTGCAATGTAGGGTTTAGGGTTTGGGGTTTGGGGTTTAGGGTTTAGGGTTTAGGGTTTGGGGTTTGGGGTTTGGGGTTTAGGGTTTAGGGATTAGGGATTAGGGTTTAAAGCCCTGCTTGGTAACCCAGTGCCTCCTAACTAAGGCTTTTTTGGGGCCTCTCTTAAGGTTTTTTCAAGCCTTCCGCGGCCTTTTAGGGCCTCCTGGCAGCTTTTGGGGCCAATTTTGGGGCTTCCATGGGCTTATTTTGGTGGACCTCCGGGCCAATTTTAAGGGGCCTCCCGGGTCCTATTTTGTGGTATCCCGGCCTATTTTGGTGCCTCCGGGGTATTTTGGGGCCTCCCGGTCAATTTTAGGCCTTGTTTCGGGGCCTCCCGGACCCTAATTGATTCCTCCCTGTGCATGTTTTTGGGGCTTCCCGGGGCCTTTTTGGTGTCTCCCGGGACCTTTTTTGGAGTCTCTGGGGGCCTATTTTGGGGCCTAGCCAAGCGCGGCAGCGGTAAGGACCTGTCCTGGCCGAGCTTGCTGACATGCTACAGCCTAGTGTGACCTCGAATAGCCTTCTTCCGTCAAGGTAAAAGCGCATACCCGGATGGGTTCCAGCTCGCATATTGTATGTATATATAGATATATGTATATATATGTATATATATATATATATATATATATATATATATTGTGGACATTTCTTAGTGACCTTGTTTTGCATATGTGCATACGCAAGCTGCCTGTCAGCGCACTCATGACATCTTCGCAGCTGTTCATCTCTCGACTGTCGCGCCAGCCACCGATTCTCGCCGCTTCTTGCCCCGCCAGGCAATCACGCTGATTCATGTGTTTTGCTGTAGACACTTCCCTAGCCTGTTCAAAGCTCCTGACAATAGCAACGGTAGACCTGTGAGGATGCAGTGCCCGAACTGCCGAACTCAAGTTGCACAGACTGCGCGGATCTCAGGAAAGTCTCTGCGCCACGTTGATGTTGCATGTGTCTGGGCAAAAGGTTCGGCTCTTTGGCGTCTCAGGGGACGAACCGTGTCCCCGCGCCTCCAGGACTGGCCAGTAGGCAGTGACGCCTTAGAAACCAACTTGTAACTGCACATTCGAATCTGTGTCTGTCAGGACAAGGAGGGTGTGGTGGCGCTGGTCCCGTGCGGTCATACCTTCTGCGCTTCGTGCGCAGAAGACTGGGCCGCCGCCGTCCTACTGTTGCGCATACCAGATGGTGGCTTTTGGGCATAACACGGACACTGTATAGATGCAGTGCCGCTGTGATGGGACGTCTCGACCAAAGTTTGCATAGCTGAGGGGATCCAAGAATATGAACCCACGTTCCTCTTGTTTTGGGGGGTGGGGCCCTCTTCCCTCCCACTCCCTCGCACTTCCTCCCCTGCCCATGTTGAAAGAACTCGTTGAGCATCGGCTTCACATGGCTTCGTCAATGCAATCGTGCTTGGATGTTGTCTCTCAGGCGCGAATCATACTGCCGACCCGGGAGCAAAGGCCAGGGCCAGTGTTTTTTCGAGTCCGCGCTTGCCGTCGCCGCGGGTCACACATGACGCTGATTGTTACGGCAGGACCTGCCGCCTCTTCCGTTCCTCATGCCCGTGGCAAAGCGTCCGGCGCGTGTTCGGACGGTCGAGCTGAACGCTGGCTTCATATTGTTTGAGTTGAGGAGGCGCAGGATGCGGCGCCAGTTGCTACGGTTCTGATCTTACAGTTTCAAAATCCCAAACGGCCACGTCGAGCACTGGCTTCAACTCGCTTTTGCTGAGGAGGCGCTGCCGGGAGAACCCGTCATGCTCTAGAGTCTCCCGTCTCAGAACGACATGGTGGAGTTGATCTAGCCTTCAGGCGGTGGACGCCGAGTTTGAATGGCTTGGCACGGAACTTTGCCTGCGCAACGTGCTTCGAAGATAGTTCTTTAAAAGTACTAACGTTTGTATGCACTCCCAAGCCACTGGGTCGCGTGGACGACTTTGGTCCGCAGATTTGGCGATGAGGCGTCGCGACGTTGCTGACTGTTTCATTGAAAACACCCAGGGAGGGGGGTCCTTGGTCCTCAGGTGGTGCTGGTGGACGCCGACACCATGGCCCCGAGCCACCTCGGCAATTGGACCGCTTCACCTCCCACGCCAGCTGGCTATAGCTGCCGCTGGCTGAGCCCCAGCGCTGGGTGCTCCTCTCACTTGGAGTAATTGTTGTGAGGGCGCGCTTTTTCTTACGTATAGGATATTTTTCGGGGTTCCTGACGTAGCCGGCTCATTCAAGACTACTTTTGTCTCTACATTAAAAAATCCCACACATTCTTCATCGCCCTCATCTCTTCATGAGCCATTTGAAGCGCTCATAGTTGCGAGCCATTTGAAGAGCTCCACCTTTGCCTTGTTCATCCTTCTGCTGCTTTTTTTTGTTTCACATTTAGTGTTTTTGTTGGGTATTGATACTGCTGGATTCATTGTGGTTGAACCCTGAATCTCTAAAATCTATACTTATCCATCCTTTATTTCTAGGGACGAAGATCCCATTTTTTCACGGAGCCGTTTGAAGTGCTCCATGTTTTTTCGGCTTTTCTTGCACGCGGCAGATTGTGCCTTTCATATATATCTTTCTTTAATTTGAGCGTGCTTCCGAGACGAGGAGTGCGAGTGGCAGTTATTCGTGTAGCGTAGGGTTGTAAAATTTTTGGTGACTCTGGTAGATGGTCTTGAGGTCGGACAGGCCTAGGAATTTTGGAGTAAGCACGTATGAGGTATTTCTACCTCGTACCTCCTCGTCTCGGAAGCCGCGTTGCATGGTCATTATTTTAGGGGAGTACACAGTTCGAGTTGTCGGTAAAACAGTAGCCAAGGCCCTTATCAAGAAGCCAACTCCAAAAAATGAGGGTGCCCTTGTTAGAAGATGCTGGGCTACAAGCCTGATGCCCTAAAGATGCCAAAGCAACCCAAGCTCAAAAGTAGCCAAAAGCAACCCAAAACCCCAAAGCGGGTTTAAGGTTTAGGGTTTAAGGTTTCGGGGGTTCGGGGACCTAAGTCCCAATGCTTGGCCCAAGCCCTTAGCCCCCGATGAGTTTCCTAAATCCTAAGCACCTACAGCGCCCCGCGCCCTAAACCCTAAACCTTGAACCCTAAACCCTAAAAGCATTAGTCTGATGAATTTGCGCAGACGACCCCATTGAATATTGAATACTTGTGATCGATATCCTCCTCTGTAGTGATCCTCAAGTGATTCCGCCCATGGATTGTCCCTCGGACCTCTTGCATAAACCTAAACCCCACATCCCAAACCCCAACCCCTAAACCCCAAACCCCTAAACCCTATACCCTAAAATCCTTACCCCCCCCCCCCTAAAAAAATGGGCTGCAGCCCCGGCCCGGCCGTAACAAAATCCTATGTAACAGGTTCATGGCACTTCTTAACCAATTATAGCTATACCTATAACCCACTTATAAGCCCCTTAAGTGCCCTGATATGGTTATAAGTACAGTTAGAAGTACAGTTATGATTGGTTAAGAAGTACCATGAACCTCCAAGTAGCAAGGCAAGCGTTCGGGTTTATGGCTTAGGGCTTACAGCTCAGGGTTTAGGGATTAGGCTCTTGGTTGTTTTTGCATTTTCCCTATTCGTTGTTTTTAAAAGTAGCTTGTTCAGGAGTATCTTCCCTCAGCCCTACACTCAACCTGGAACATTGTTCAGAGGTTTAAAGGGCCAAACCGATCTCCTTAAATACGAAACGCATGACTTTCAACTCCCCTGAAACCCTGCAAGCCCTAAACCCCAAAGCCTTAAACCCTAATCACTCTAAGCCCAATTCTAAACCCTAAATCCTAAACTTCAAACATCAAACCCAAATCGCTCTAGGCCCTAAATTCTGAACCCTAGAACCCTAGAACCTTAGAACCCTAGACCCTAAACCCTAAACCCTAAACCCTAAACCCTATACCCTAAACCCTAAACCCTAAACCCTAAACCCTAAACCCTAAACCCTAAACCCAACTTCCACTAGCCAGGGCTTCAACACAGGGCCCCGTGCCCCAAGTTTGGATCGCCCAGCACCTTGGGCTACAAAACAGGGGGTTTAGGTTTAAGGGGTTTGGGGTTTAGGGTTTAGGGTTAAGGGTTTAGGGTTCAGGGTTTAGGGTTTAGGGTTTAGGGTTTAGGGTTTAGGGTGGGGGCAGGGGTGTTAGCATTAGCGTTTTTGTGTTTAGGAGCGTGTTTCGGAGAGGATCGGCTGCATGCCGCGAGGGGCAGCAGGACCACGTCGAGAGCAAAGCCCTGAACCCTGAATATCCTGGACCCTTGCAGCCCTGAGGGCTCTCACTGTGTCATCGTTTTTGGACGTGTGGGCTCGCATGGTCTCTCACCGTTCGGGGTCTAGCTGGCATAGCAGGACCCTCTAGGCTTCAGCGCTGGCTTCTGGGGCCTAAGCTCTGAACCCTGAGCCCTGAACCCTGAAAGCAGGGTTTGTAGGGTTTGTCAGATTCATAGGCTTTGTAGAGTTTATGGGGTTTGAGGAACTTGGATCAAGCATACCAAGGTTCTCGTTTTGGGACCAGCTGAACGCCATCGTCAGCGCATCCTGGCTGAAACATGCGTTACCCGAAGCTAGCACTCGCCTGTCCGAAAGCGGGGTAAGTAGCACTAGAGAGCACATCTCGCTATATGGGGGTTGACGAAAAAAAGGGACCCCTGACCTAGTGCGCCAAAATAGTAGGATTCCCTTGAAATAAGGACTTCAATGAGGTACCCCCTACTCCGGGAACCATCATATTCTCTTCGCTTATGATCGATGCATGGGCTCTTTTTCCGCTGAAGTTGAAGTGTCATCCAACCTTGCATGGTTTTAGTTTGGCTCCTGGTCCGCTTGGAGAAACAGAGAGAGTTCCAGAATTTTCTTATGAGCACGGTGCTTCAAAACTCATGCGGGGTTTACTTTCGGATTTAATTGTGTACGGGCTTGAGGTCTTCGGGCGGTTGGGCAAGAAGTGCATCGTCCAGCACACTCAGCATACCCGTCAGCCAATTTTAGCGGTTCAGCACACCGGGCTTGCGAACAGGCTTACCTTGTTGCTGCCCGGCCAGCAACGTGAAATTCCAGAATAACGTCTAGTCGAGTCTTCATACCCTTAACATACCTCAGAAAGTAGAAGAATCATCTACATTGGAAGTGCCTCCCCAGAGCAGTCCCACTCTGCAGGAGCTGCAGTGAACCCGTAAGTGCTCCTAATCGCTTTGAAGCCCCTTCAAGAGCATGGCAACTGCACCCGACACCCCACTAAGTTGGAGAGCAAGACGTGGGGTTCTGAACCCCCCCCCCCACCCCGGCCCCCAGGCCCCCAGGCCCCCAGGCCCCCAGGCCCCCAGGCCCCCAGACCCCCAGGCAACTTAATCCACAATATTTCGCCAGCAGTTTGACTCCGCGAGCCAAAATTGGGATTTTTCTTCAAACGACCCAGGTGTCAAGGTTGTTTGGGGAGTCGGGCCTTGACCCAAGCACCCCAAACCTGAGCCCCCAAACCCTAAACTCTAAGACTTCGTTCAGGCGCCGCCCGGGCCCTTCATTCCCATGGTGCTGCAGACGCCGCTGAACAACTTGAACGTGCCCTTCACGGCTGCTTGTTCTGCACGAATGCCATCGGCTTTAAGGTGTTCAGGGTTTAGGGTTGGTAACACTTCGACGCCTAATGCCCAGCCCAAAATAAGGTCAATTTTGGCGGTCGGCCCTGTTTTGGGGTACCAACCCTACTGCTCACCCCAAAACAAGGCCCAACTGGGGCGTCGGCCCCAAAATGATGTACCAACCCTAATATGGTCGATTTGGAGTGCCAGGCCTAGTCAGGTACCAACCCGAATGTCCAGCCCAAAATGATCCATTTTGGGTGCCGGCCCCAAAAATGGGGTACCAACCCTAATGCCCAGCCCACTTCGGGCACCAGCCATGATTTGGGTACCAACCCTGATGCCCAAAAGCCCCAAGTACGGGTGTAAGCATGTTGGCTTTAGGGGTCAAGGCCCAGCGCCGCTTCGGCTTTAGGCTGTAGGGTTTCGGTTCAAGGGTTTAGGGTCTAGGGTTTAGGGTTTAGGGTTCCGGGTTTCGGGTTTCGGGCTTAGGTTAGCCCAGGGTTTAGGGACCCTATGGTGTGGGACTTACTGCTTGGGCCCTAGGGTATGGAGCCTGGGGTTTATGGATGGAGTGAACTTCATAGTCTCTTTTTGTTAAGCTATTCTTTGGGCGGATGGGTATTTTTCAAAGCCCGAGAATTGAGCGAACCCTAAACCCTGAACCCTAAACTCCTTGATCCTTAGAGGTCCGATCTAGTCCTTTAGGAAGCCTGTGAGATCCTTTTCCTAATTCCCAGCAGCAATCCCAACCCTAAATCTGCCCCCAAGGCCTACAGTACACCCTGAATACCCTAAATCACCCCACAACACCCGAAAACCCCAAACCCTGAAATCACAAGCAAGTTGTGAAGAAGACGTAGAGACTCCTAGACCCTAGCACACCTCTGAAGCAGGTAGAGAAGCTACTCCTAAACCCTAAACCTGAGACTCTCAACGGCAATCCCTAAACCAATAGGGCTTGCAGCAGTTGAAAGTCAGAGAGTGGGGCTTAGGATTTAGGTTTTAGGGCTTTAGGGGTCAGGGCTCAGGGTAATTCGGCCTGCATCGCCTTCTTGTATGGGTTTAGGGTTTAGGGTTTAGGGTTTAGGGTTTAGGGTTTAGGGTTTAGGGTTTAGGGTTTAGGGTCTAGGGTCTAGGGTTTAGGGTTTAGGTTTTGTTGTTTATTTAGGGTACTTGCTTAAACCAGGCTTGCATCGCCTTCTTCTACCTGAAGACACGTTACAAGATGGTCCACTACGCAGGGATTATCCTCATCCTCCTCTCCTGCCTCGTGGGCCGCCTCGAAATCCGATTCCCCTGATTGGAGCTTCGGGCTTCGGGCCCCTACACCGTGTGCCCTAAACCCCTAAGGCCAAATACCTGAACCTTCATGGGCACCCCAATAGACTGCTCTGAAGAAGTCTCAACCCTAAACCCTAAACCCTAAACCCTAAACCCTAAGCCCTAAACCCTAAACCCTCATCAGCGCACCGTTAGCTCTGGACTTTCGGTTGAGGGCTTGGGGGAGCAAGTCTAGGGCTTGGGGAAGTTGATGGCTAGGTTTGGGGCTTGGGGCTTGGGGCTTGGGGCTTGGGGCTTGGGGCTTGGGCCTTGGGGCCTTGGGGCCTTGGGGGGCCTTGGGGCTTGGGGCTTGGGGCTTGGGGCTTCCTCCTAGATCAGCGTATCTGGCATGAACACCAGGGAAGGCTGTAGAGGCAACTCTCAAGAGGCCCGGTGGTACCCTTTGCCCTTTGTTTGGTTATGGGTTCCCTTGTAAAGAAACCAGCCCCAAAAACGGTGCTCCTTGGGATGTTCCCCCTTATACTAACAGTCCTTAATAAGGATTCTAAAAGGGGTACAATAGTCCCCATGAAGGACTGTTAGTATAAGGGGGAGCAGCCCAAGGTGTCCCTAATATAATAGCAATATGGTTGCTGGGCTACCAAGAAGGGTTTTGGGATGTCGGGTTCATACCTCTCCTCTCTTCAGCTCTTTGCATTTTCGGAGTTTAGGGTTTAATTAGGGTTTACGGTTTAGGGTTTAGGGTTTAGGGCTTGGACAATCTCCGAAAACTTCTCAAACACCTGGAAGCTCTAAAGCCTTGAACACCAAGGACCCCAAGCCCACAAAGCCTGAACTCTAAAAAACTGTGCAACGCCTGGAGCTTACCATGCTCCAAGGTTTAAGGCTTCTACCCCGACACCTTAACCCTCAACGCCACTTTTGCTTTCCACTTCTTAATTGACAGGGGGTTAGGTGACTTCATACCCCCCCCCCCCTGTATTCCCTACAAGGGGTCAATAAGGATCCAGATTCCTGATTCCCTGCACGAACTCACGTTTAGGGACTTTGGTACCTGATACCCCCCGAACAGCCCTAAACCCTAAACCCCAAACCCGAAACCCTGCACCCTACACCCTAAACCCTAAACCCTAAACCCCTAGTTGGGTACCCCTCCACAATTCCTTTCTACCTACAGCCACCAGGTGGGCGTGGTGGTCGAGCTCCAGGGCCCTGCACCCGTCTTCTGTACCGGCCTAAGCAAGGCCAAGGACCGCCAGCAGCGCCCAGAGTCGGGGTTTAGGGTTTAGGGTTCAGGGCTTCGGGCTTAGGGCTTGGGGTTTAGGGTTTAGGGTTTGGGGTTTGGGGTTTAGGGCTTGGGGTTTAGGGTTTAGGGTTTGGGGTTTGGGGTTTAGGGTTTAGGGATTGCAGCGCCCAGAGTCGTTTGGCGTTGAGGCCCTTAGGGCCTTGCAGGCTTTGGCTTTAGAGCAACCTGCTACTTGCTTCAGAACCCTCCCAAAAAATTAAGGGTTTAGGGTTCAGGGTTTCTAGTAAAACAGATGAGAATTCCTATATTGCCTTATGAAGACGAACATTTTTTTGGGGGGAGTGGGGGGGAAGCCGGGGCTGGGCACTGGGAACATCGAATTGTTTGCCTATATTTTCCTGACCTTCCGTCTGCAAAACGCGAAAACGCCCAACCCCCAACGCGCCGAAACCTTGAACCCCTATTGCCGCCCTAAACCCTAAACCCTAAACCCTAAACCCTAAACCCTAAACCCTCAACCTCGTTTTCCCCCAGGACACGATGGCCTTGCCCTCAGTGGCCGCCCTGGTCCCAGAATCGATCGTAGCAAAGGTCAACAAGGCCTCGTCTGAATGTACCTTGGGCTGCCAATGTGAGGGCTATAGGGTTATAGGGTTATAGGGTGAGAGGGTTATAGGGTTATAGGGTTATAGGGTTATAGGGTTATAGGGTTATAGGGTTATAGGGTTATAGGGTTATAGGGTTATAGGGTTATAGGGTTAGGGTTTTGGGTTTTGGGTTTAAGGGTTACCATTCAGTTGTCCCAACACATGGTTTGCATGTGCTACCGTTTTTCGAGACCCTCATCGTGCTAGCACATCATCTTCCAACCCCCAATAGCACTGAGCCTTCAGTGCACACAAATGACAACAAACCCTAAACCCTAAACCCTAACAACAGCAGGGGGTGATCTTGATTATGGGACCTTTGCTTGTACTCTAGCCGCAGCTTCAAGGAACGTACCAGAGTACAGACCTTCAACCCTCAACCCCTACATCCTACAGGTCACATAGTTCATGTCTCCCAGGCATCAGCGGCCTGCCCCCTTACAAGAACGCAAATGGCGATCTGATCCATATCGAGTTTGGCACCTTGCTTTTCATGTACCTGCTCTTCATCTTTGCGGTCCTCCCAGCAGCCTTCTCCAATTGCTACAAGCAAAAGAAGTTGAAGCAGGTGAACTTGGACGTGATGTGGTCGTTCTTCTGGGCTGGCATGTGGCAAGTGCTTTGGGGGATCTTGATGTTTCCCCTCAACTGGATCCCCTGGCCGACGCCTGATGGCCACAATGAGCAATCCCCGAACGATTTGAAGAACGACCTGGGGGATTCTTGGACTTGCTTCATGGGAACGAATCCCAGGCCCGACGTCACCACCTGTGAATCCGAACCTGCCTGGTTGTGGTTCCTCTGGTACCTCCTCTTCAACGTCTTCTTCAACCTTTTCTTCTTGTGGCTCATCAAGCGCCTCTCCGGCACCTGGGCTGCCATCGGCTCCATCCTTTGTGGCAACCTCTGTGGCATCTTCAGCCAGTACGAGATCTTCGCCGGGCCCTCCGCGCGCACGCTCACCTTGGAGCAGTGGTTGGCACTGGCGCTGTCCCTCGCATCCTGTTTGGGAGCTGCCGAACCCTTTGTACCCCCGGAGAGTTCCGAACCCTTTGTTCCGCCGAATAGAATCCTCTTTAAGGGACCACCCCCCCCGCCCCCCCTCCAAAAAAAGGAGATCCTTGAGGCATATCAACCCGAAACCCTCAAACCCTCAAACCCTCAAACCCTCAAACCCTCAAACCCTCAAACCCTCAAACCCTCAAACCCTCAAACCCTCAAACCCTCAAACCCTCAAACCCTCAAACCCTCAAACCCTCAAACCCTAAGCCCGAAAAAACATGTTTGAAGCGCCCAACCCAGGTCCACAGTTGCCATGTGGGTCTACAACATCGAGGACGAGACCGACATCGATGGCAACAGCGTCTATGCGGAAAAGCCGACGCCTGGTCAACAGGCTTGGGGTTTATGGTTTAGGGTTTAGGGCAGAATGAAGCATAGCCCCTAAGCCCTAAACACGAAACCGTAAGAGGGGTCGGAATTATTACTAATTAATAGTATTCCTTATGGTCCCTTTAGAAGTATACTATAATAACCCCCAAGGCCCAAGGCCCTGAACCCTAAACCCTAAGGCCCTAATATAAGAGAGTCTTGGGTTGCAGCTGCAGTTTAGCAGTGCCCCTCTCATGAAGTGAGGCTCGTCTCTTCCTCCCAGGTCCTTAGGCTTTAGAGTTTCCAATTCAGGGTCGACGGAATTTAGGGTTTAGGGTTTAGGGTTTAGGGTTTAGGGTTTAGGGCTTAGGGCTTAGGGCTTAGGGCTTAGGATCCCTAAACCCTAGAGGATCAGCTGCGGTGAACCAACTGGGCGCATAGAACGGAGCCATGGGCAAAACGGCGTGGCTGTAGCACACACTACAAAGCAAAGCAAGTTGCATATTGGGAGCCTAAACTCCAAAACCCTAAACCCTAAACCCTAAACCCTAAACCCCGAAAACCCTAAACCCTAAACCTTAAGGGTGGTGGTGTAATTGGAGCTCGGGTTGCGTGGCGGCCTCTGCTGGGAAATGGCTCGGATAAGGGATCAAGGAATTGACCATCAGGCTGTTGAGGGTTTCGGGTGTCCCCTAAACCGTGCCTAAACCCTAAACCCTAGACCCTAGACCCTAAACCCTAGACCCTAAACCCCAAACCCAAAGAGATCCAGGACCAAACCCTAAACCCTAACCCCTGACCCCTATCCCCACCCCTAAACCCTAAACCCTAAACCCTAAACCCAAAAAAGATCCAGGACCACTAAAGAGCCCCGCCCCACCCCCCCTCCCCCCGCCAAGGAGAGGAGATCACCGCTACGACTCGCATGGCCCCATGGGCCTTGAACCCGAGTCCGACTTCGAATCCGACGAATCTCGGCTGGGACGTAGGGGGTTTGGGGTTTAGGGTTTGGGTTTAGGGTGAAGAGCTTGCGGAAGTTGTATAGGGGGGTGTTCGGGTTTTTTGTCGGGATTTTTTGGGGGGGGGGGGTTGTGTCCGGTGTTTTGTCGGATTCTGTTTTTGCTTTCTAGGCATCTTGGCCCCAGAGGTGTGTAGGGTGGGTCTCTTTTTTTGTGCATTTTTCGCCCAAGGGTTCGGGCTTGGCGTTTTGCATCTTTTTGCTTACGAGAGGCCTGGACTTTTTGCCCCCCTTTTAACGAAAACCTGGGCCTTTGGAGAGCTTTGGGGGGTCCTTGAGAGACCTTGGAGCCTTTCGGTTGGGATATTCCCCCGCATACCAACAGCCCTAAATAGGGATTCTACTAGGGGGTACGATAATATCCTATGAAGGACTGTCAGCAATAGGGGGAACATCCCAAACCTGCCTCTTGAAGCCTTTCGTCGTTCTGAGTCAGACACATGCAGTTTGTATTTATCCTGGCCTTGAGGGTGTAGGGTTTAGGGTTTAGGATTCAGGGTTTAGGGTTTGGAGATTACGGTGGCTTAGGGTCTGGTTTAGGGTCTGTGATGGTTTTTACTTGGGGCTTAGGGCTTAAAGGGATCAGGGCTTAGGCGTTCTGAAAAAGGATGAGGGGATCTGAGAATTGATTTTATAAAGACTTGGGCATTGACACCACCAGATGACACCAGGAACGCTGCAAATCCCTAAGCCAAGCCCTAAACCCTAAACACATCTTAACCCTAGACCGCCCTAACTAAGCCCTAAAACCTCCCTTGCACCGAGAACCCTCAAACAATGGATCGTGTCCATCGTTACTTGTAAAAGCACGTCCCCAAAATATCCCGAATGCGGGGTTTAGGGTTTAGGGTAAATTGAGTCTTAGTCTACCTAGGAGGAGTGGGTTTTTTGTGCGAGGGGGCTAGAAATGAAACGTAGGGATGAAACCCCCCCAACGCCAAAACCATTCCTGCAGGAAGAGCCAGACGCACAGTCCCATACCGTCTTCTGAGGTGAGATGTGACATTTGGTGGGTTTAGGGTTTAGGGTTTTGTTTAGGGTTTAGAGTTTCTAGGGTTTCTGGGGTTTGCGTCAGGTTTCGAAGGATTTTCCAGAGGTCCAGTGCCCAATCGTATCGTCGGCGACGTTATGTCGCACGCGGGGGTCATCCTGCTACGATGTCCTTTACGCAGCTTTTCTTGCCAAACATCGGGGGAGCCCTGAGCTCTCAGATGTAGTTTACTGGGGGTTGTGTCAACACGTCCCCCCCCTTCCAATCAATTGATTTCCGCCAATGAACGAATGATCTCATGACCCATGAATGAAAAAGTGCCGGTGTTTTGGATCCGTCTGCCCTACATCTGCCGATTGCTTATTCTGAAACATATTGCCCATTTTTAACCGGCAACAGAAAAATACTAAGAATGGTAGATAAAGGAAGACATGGGATTTGTTGTATGCAATGATTCATTCGCATCTTATTCTCTTTTCGTGAACCCTGTCTCTTGATCTTCAATGGCCAAGCATCCCTG